GCTCGGTTAAATGACTCGACGAACTACTCATCTCGAGGTCTATCCTCAATAACTCTTCGTACAAGAGGATAGACGTGAACGAGTAATTCTTGAAACAATTAAAACATAAGCAATATCATTACGAACAAGCTTATTCTCAACGAGCCTAGATTGAACGATTTCTCCCCTTTCGGTTCTAAAATCGATTAATTAGATTAAGATGGTGATCAAGCATATAAAACCCTAGGTTAAGCATAACTCGAGAAGATTGAGCAATTATCAAGCATTTAAACAAAATTGAGCTGAAGCGACAATCCCCTAGCTAATGAATTTAGCTACTCATAATGCATTCAACCTCAACATACACAATAATCAAAGCCATCTCCATCATGAAGAAAACGAAATGAAAGCTTACGATTAATGAATCCAATGTCGAAAACAAGAACAACTGAATCCAAAAGTCGAATCTCCAAGTTTCTACACTTCAAGATTGAACCCCAATCAAAAGCTAAGAGAGATCTGAGTTTTTAGGTGAAAGAACCAGAGAAAAAGTTTAAACCTAGGATAGAACATAATGCCCCCAATTTTACAAATCTACTCATAAAAAACAGTAATTCGCAGCTTCCGCGGCCGCGGAGAAGCTCGCGGGCCACGGTGAAGGAACGCTCCGTGGCCGCGACTATTTTGCTCAGTGGGACCTCCGCGGCTGCGACCTCCTCCTTCGCGGCCGCGACGAAGAAAACTGGGCGCAGGAAATGTTTTGCTCACCGCGGCCGCGGGAACACCGTCGCGGACCGCGGTGAAGAATTCTTGTGACATAGCTGCGATTTTCGGGCTCGTATCTACGTATCCAGACTCGGAATTGGATTCCGACTTTTCTACTCGACCCGACCTCAACCTCCTAGATAGAAATCCCCGCAAGGCCACTTTCTTCTCGAAATTCATAACCGACACAACCACTTAACCTGCACATCACCACCGACAAGAAAAACGTAGAAAAACGAACAAGAAAACCAAAAACGAGCAAAATAAAGAAAATGCACGACAAGACACAAAATGGACCAAGAATCAAATAAAATAACCTAGAATGTGAAAAAATAAATATAAAATAAACACGGATAGCACGACAAAAATGGAACGAACAATAGAGCATGCGAATATATTTTATATGCAAAACCCAAAAAATAAAAGTATACGACCATTCAAGTACGAGCATGTGTGGTTCATTATAAAAGATTTTGTCTTGTTCGAGTGCACATCGACCAGATGAAACACATTTTCATTCTCAACCGCAATCAGATGCACAACATGAGTCTCCCATTTCACTTAACCTAAAACTATCTAATTTTTCCATTAATTTGAGCGATGAAAATGCTAGTGGTGGTTTGTCATTACAACCGTCATTATATATTAAAAAATCAAAAGTTAAGAGGAAATAGGGCGGAGACGTATCTGTAGTTATCAAAACAATGAAAGAGGAAAATGAAAATTTAGAGAGATGATAATGAGTTCAACAATGAAGAGGGATCAAGACATTGAAATGATGAGACAAAAATTTGAAATCCAAAAGCAAAAAAATTGAATCACAAAAACAAACTGTTGAGATCACCTCATGGACATATGAAAATAAAATTTCAATGATAGATTTGAATTCCATACAAGATAATTGGCCGTGAATATTGTAAAAATGAGCAAGAATGAATTTTGAAATAAAGAGGTCAGTCATCGCAGAGATCCCATGCTAATAACACTTTTCAGTTAGTTTTTTCGAGATCTTGGCGGATCTGTAAGTGGTTTGGGAGACTATTAAAATAAAAAATGCACTATTCGTGTGTTTCTTAGATTTTTAAGTCATCTTTAATTATGTTGTTTTTAGTGGTGTATTTTTTGATTTTTGTATCTTGTAAATTTTTTATTTTAATATTATGTTGTTTTATTTGTGTATTTTGTGATTTACGTGTGTTGTAAACTTTTTATTTTAATGATATCTACTTATTTGATTGTGTTAAATTTTATTCATATGTTGCCACTGTAATATTAAAAAATTGTAAAATAAAATTATAAACATCGATAAAAAAACACAAAATTATTTAGCATAAATAATCATTGCACAAAGTTATTTATGATAAAAAGATGCATTTATTAATATACATTATATAAAAAATTATCAATAAAATTACTCTGTTATTACCCTGTTAGGGTCGTCTCTAGGCGGGCTTCGTCATGTCCTCTCAAGTTTATTTGGCTGGTGGTTGTAGTTGTCAGCAGATGTTTGTGTCCTTTTATAAAATTTCTATCGTTCCGGAAAAAAAAAATTATCAATAATACTACTTAAAAATAAATCTATATATATATAAAAAGATTTACTATTTTTTAAAAATAGTAGGTCAACTTTCTGGTCAAAATTTGGATACATTAATTAGTTTCCATTAATGGAAGTTTTTTTAATTACTTAATACTTAATTAAATTGATATGTCTAATATTGTTATTATGATAATTTATAGAAACAAATCATCCCTTAATTGAAGGGATTTAGTATTCAAAAATAAACACTATCCCATTACACGTTTTGTGTGTTTAAAATTTAAAGGGACAACAAAATAAACACAATAATAGCTTAAATATACTCACATTTCCAAAATTACAGCATTCTGTATTTTTTTTTAGTTTGTATATATCCGTAACTGTTATGGATAATTAATGTATAAATCGAATATACAGATAAATAACTTTTGCAAATGGAGAAATAAATCGTCAACAAAAAAACTATTTATTTTAATTCTTATGTGATAAGTATGATCTTTTTTGTTTGGCCAAATCAAACGTTTTTTTTTTTCAATTTTAAATATGTCATACAAATTTTCAAATCAATTTGAATTTAAATTAGATACCAAGTTTTTTGTAATTCTTAGAATCCACAATATCCAAAACACTAATAGTTAAACAATGCCACACACATATTCAAACGAATTTGAATGTTAATTAGGTACCACGATTTCTGTGATTCTTATAATACACATAATACATTTAAATCCACACACCACGTAATACATTTTCATAGAAAAACGAACAATAAAATGTTTATAAATTATTGCTCCATTTAAATTCGTAATATAAAAACGTTAATTATAATTAATTTAAAATTACGTACATGACATTTATACAACATTAATTAATATACTAAATACAATAAAAGTAAGAGAAATTTGAAAATTGTAATTTTTTAAAAAATATACATATATCCAATAATTTTCTAAAATTTTGGTTTAGATATATTATTTATGTGTTACCTAAAATAAATAATTATATAATTTATATTAACTGTAAGTAGAAAATTTAAAAAGGTACTGTATGTTTAAATGATTGAATTGCGTATAACAACTATATAAAAAATTTAATGTGTTAATAAAACTTTATAACAAAGGCTTTGATTTATAAAAAAAAATTACAAATAATATCATATATCTATATTCCTAAATTGGAGTTTATATTACTTTTTATTACATTATACAAAATAAAAGCATACTACAATTGTCATTCTTTCTTTATTCATTTATTAGATTTATTATTATTTTACTTGTATATGAATCTATATATATATATATATATATATATATATATATATATATATAAACAGATTTACCATTTTTAAGAATAGCAGGTCAACTTTCTGGTTAATTTCGGATAGCATTAAATATTTACTAATTTAGGTAAGTTTTTTTTTCAGTAAAATCGGGCATCAATAAATGCTGCCCTTAATTTTTGGGATTAGGAGGAGTGGATCTTAATAATGAAAAGTAGTCAAGTTATTAACTAAAAATTGTTATCTAATATCAGCTCACAAGTTTCAATAAAAAATCGAACAAACAAAAAAATGTTAGTAGCTGTAACAAAAAATTCATTTAAATTTGGTGGTTAGTTAGTACAGAAAATGTCATCTTTTATATCTCTAAAACACATATCAAGGATAACTTTGAACAAAACTAAGATAGATAGCCTATTCATAAAAAAATAATAAGAAACAAATAAACCAATTTTGTGTCGAACCTCAAACATAACAATTAATATTTTTTTAAAAAAATATAAAAATTAATAAGGAAAAAATTACGTTTATTTACAGTCTTATTTTGATTATTTGATGGGCAACCTAATAATTGTTGTATGTAATTTTTATTTTATTTGGAAAAAAAATTGTGAAACATGAAATATGGAAAGGGGAGAGGATAGAGAAATTAGAGGGAATCATTAAATTATGTTTCAAACTATAAATTATTCAAATCACTATTAAGGAAGTTATATGATTCAAACTAAAAATATACTTTATTAGTATAGCGGGGAATGTAAAATAACTATCTACATAGAATAGGAATGAAAGAGTTAGAGTAGGAATAAAATATAATGTATAATACAATTGAAAATTAGAAAAGTAGTCCAAGCGTGGGGGCAATTTTTTCGACGACAACAATCAACATCCGCAGCCCAGGAGATAAGCCCAACAAGGGAGCCCAGTTAAGTGAGGCCCAGTTTCCACAGCCCTTTGTGCAGCTCACGTCCGGCCCGAGTCGGCCCGTGCTCCTCACAATGAGTTACCCAATAATCAAACTCATAATGTTGTGTACAGAGAGGTTTTTAATAATATAAAAGTTTTTCATGACGAACATTTTATGATGAATAATGTTCGTATGTATTGAACTCTCATATATCTAATGCAGGTCAAATTATAATATTCTCTAAATTTATATACTCGTGCATCGCACGGGATACGCACTAGTAAAAAAAATATAATGTATTGCTACATTATCGTGCCACATGTTATGTAACGCAATACTATTCGGTTCTCTCTTCTAGCGCTTATACTCCATTTAAAAAGCGAATTGTGGCGAAGGTCGAGAGAATCTTACTAAAAATACCACCAATTTGCCCGCTCGGAATTTATTTCTCATTTTCGTACCGCTTTTCCCTCACCAAGAAATAATAGTCCAACTTCACAGATTTATCCTCCCACTCCCCTTCACTGGCGATGCACGATTCCAAGCATCTGAAGTCCCGCCACCGCCACCGCCACCGCGAACCGCCGCAACAACCCCGCCGCCACTGGTGCTGCTCTTTCACCGTCCCACCCCTCAGCCCCGACAACCCGCCCCTTTCAAACTCCCACGCCTCGTCCTCCTGTAATAAAAAGGCCGAGATATCTTCCTCTTTCTCCTCCCCTCCGACCCAGAAGCCCACCCCTCTCGCCCGCCGGATTCTCTCCCCGGGTCGGGTCTCCCCCATTTCCGACCACCCCGTGACTACTCAAAGCATCCCCCAAAAGCAAGCTCTTCCTAAATCTCCCTTGTCCCCTGCCACAATTGACTCGGAAATCACCGCCGCGGAGGGCAGTTTTGGGGTTTTTGACGCGAGGTTGAGTCTGAAGGGGAAGAACGGGGGATCCTTGGTTCTGGAGCTTGCTTCGGAGGTTTTGACCGCCAACAGCCTTGTGTTTTCCGACTTGGTTGCTGATCATTGCAAGAACAAGAGCGGATTGTGTAGGATCCAAGTGCCGGATGTCGAGAATTTGGATGTCTTTCGTGAAACAATTGAACTCATGTTCGAGGAGGATATTTCCAAGAAGCTCCTCAAGATTGGGGTGTTTAGGGCTATCGATATACTTGAGGTATTACATTTACATTTCCGCTGGAACAAGTAAATAAGGTTCTGCATTTCTTGGTTCTGATGTTTAGCCATTGAAATGCGCTTTAGGATGTTAAATTTTATTCTAAATCATTTTCTTATGTTGTGGCAGTGTGGTTGGACTTTGCAGTTTTCCTTTCATGTTGATGTGAATACCTTTTTTTTTTTTTTTTTTAGTAAATTAAAATGTGTTCTTGTTTCTGAAAGAGTGAGAGGGGCATTTGCTTGAACTGAAGCTAATAACTTGTAATTTGAGATCTGGTTCTTGCTAAACAAAATGGTTTGGGTTGATTTCGATTTTGATTTTGTTTTGTTCTGAGTGTGAGGCTTTCAGTGCACCGCGCTTCAGTTTTTTAGTTTCTACTTGTGTTCTGAATGAATGGGGTTTGTAATGCCACTTGAAATGAAGATGACTGGAAATTTGTGACTGTATTTAATCTTTTGTATTGTTTCTCCACACCACCTCAAGTTTAACTGTGGGTTTTAACATTTTTTGTCGAAAAAATGCAAAAGTGATTCCTCTAGTGGCAAGGGTGAAATAAAAACCAAGCTGAGTGACATGCACTTCAAGTTCTTTTACATGTTTTTGATACATAAGATGTTTGCAGTCAGTTAAAGTTCACTTATCGTGATCGAAAGCAAGGTGTGTCTTGGATGAACCGTATTGAGGCAGTATTGGTTCAAACTTAGAAGAAAGGCCTTAAGATCATGAATTAGAAACTGTTGAATCTGTTTATTCCTTTTTCTTTTTATATTCTCTTGGGCTCTAATTTGTTAAGTCATAAGTGATTATCACTTCCTAATCTGTTAATCCAACCATTTCACTGAAAACATAGTACCAGGATACATTATTGCATTTATTGCCTCAGCCCAGTTGTTCATAACTTGACTTTCTATGTGTTTCTTCTTTGGATTTTATATGTTCAAGCGTAAATAGAAAACTAAACAACATGAATGAATGTTCATATGTGATGTGTCCTTTTCCAGCGGCCCTCTTCATATAAGTTCATAGTTTACATGTGATGGCAGGTCTCGGCAGGGATTAAGTTTTACAGGGGTGTTTCTTCGTGTCTAAATTACATCGAGGCAGTACCTTGGACAGAGGAAGAAGAGAAGAAGCTGCGAGACTTGTTTGGTAAAATAAAAATCGATGACGCTAAAACTGTGGATATTTTAGATAGACTTCTAACTAATCTTAATGATAATGCCATCGACGCCCAACAAACTCTGACTAAGCAGCTTATTTGGTCCGTTACCACCGGCACGGATGCCAATGCGAAAAACGAGCTCAAGTCCTTGGTCAAAGGCCTATTGTGCAAAAGCTTGGTCAACGGGCAAAATCATCCTGACGTGAACAAGGAGGATGTGCTCGCCGCGTCCCATTCGTGTCTTGGCTCGCTCACGTGCCTGCTCGAGGAGGCCTTTGGTGCCGACACGTGTCAGAAGGACGTTAAAAGAGGAAATGACGATAAACCCCTGGTGGAGCGGATCTCGACGCAGGTCGACAACCTTAATTGGCTTCTCGAGATCCTTCTCGGCCGGCAGATTGCGGAGGACTTTGTGGGAGTGTGGGCAGATCAAGAAAAGCTTCTCGAGCTTCACGGGAAAGCATCCCCAATGGTGAGGTATGAGGTCAGCCGGGTCTCAGCTATTATTTTTATTGCCATGAGCTGTGGAAGATTGCACTGCCCTTTGGATATGAGATTGAGGGTCGTTCAGAAATGGTTTGGGCCGATGCTTTGTGATTTTGGGTGGCTGAGGAGGTGCAAAAAGGGCTTGGACACGCGGGCCTTGGAGGAGGCCATGGGGCAGGCCCTGCTTACTTTGCCATTGAAGGAGCAGTACGAGCTATTTATGGAATGGTTCGGTTGTTTCTCAAGGCATGGGACTGAGTGCCCGAATCTTAGTAAGGCGTTTCAAATATGGTGGCGCAGGTCGTTTCTTAGGGGGTCGAAGTGTAGGTGAAAGTGGTGGATAAGCTGTTGTGTTTGGAGATTGTAAGAGTCAGGGAAGGTGGTACAGACTATTGTTTCGAGCTCGTAGGATATGGAAATGCGACGTACTCTAAAATTTCTGTGATTCGTGTGAGTAGAGATTTCAGTTTGCTTTTAGTTTCTGCTAGTGTTCCTTATGCCTTCAAATATGATGAGGGCATCATTGGAGTTTATTCATGATTCTCGAGTTAAATGTTATGGTCCTTCGCTTCCAGGAAATGGCGTCATATTTGAAGAATTTTTTACTAAAAAAAAAATCAATAAATAAGTAGACGAAAAAAAAAAAAAAGAAAAAAGGGGTGGACGAAAATAAAAAGCACGTATTCAAAGAATACGTTTTCCAGAAAAATTATTTAAAAAACGTATTCCTTGAATACGGTTTGTTTAAAATTTCAAAGTAAAACGTATTCGTTGAATACGTTTTAGTTAATTATCTTAATTAAGTAAATTAATCAACAGGAAAACGTATTTCTTAAATACGTTTTCAAAATATTATTTACAAAATAAGTTTTAATTTTCTTTTTATTTTTTTTAAAATTTTTTTAAACAATAAAACGTATTACATGAATACGTCTAATAATTCGTTTTTTTTAATTATGAAAACGTATTTCATAAATACGTTTTATATTTTTTATATTTTAAATACAGTAAAACGTATTTTGTAAATACGTTTTTAAAAGAAAAAAATTTAAAAAAAAAAATTGGTAAAATCAAATTTACCCCAAAATCAAATATACTTGTTCGAGCAATAATAATCCAACATACACTATAACGAAACAAATGAAAAAACACAATAATTTGTTAAACAAACAATATATACAAAACGATATAATTCAATTTGTACATACAATCCAACATTTGAAAATGAAACACAAAATCCACGAATTCATCACAACTAACTAATTAGGGGTGTATGGATTCGGAGGCCTACGCTGTCTGGACCCCCTCCGAGCATATACAATTTGAGGTTAAGGTGTAAGAAGCGTGTCAGCTTGAAAAGCTTGGTCATCCTCTTCATCATCTGAGTAATTCAATTGGAAGAAAGAAATCATAAATTGGATTGGAAAAAAATAATAAAATAAATTGTTAATTTAAAAATCTCTCCTTGTTGAGGCTCGAGTGACTGAGGTATATAGTAGTCCTGGGCGGACTGCTGCTGAGGTGGGAAGGGCTGGGGCGGCTGAGGTGAGAAGTGCTAGGGCAGTTGAGGTGGGAAGGGCTGGGTAGATGGCTGAGCGTGGGGACGGACCCCAGATCTTCTACCCCCACCAATATTGGGGGCGGGTTGATGCCTGGCGGTGTGTGACTGTGTCCGCATGGGGGGAATGTATTCGTCCTGAGAGAAAACTTGACTGGACGGCCCCCCATGTGGAACACCCTGGCCCCCAACAGTCAGAGAAGAATATGCATAGTTGTACGACTGTTGGAAGCCGAGTTGCGCTTCTGGAGGGAATTAAGGCAGATATGGCTGCATATCGGATAATCCGCCATAAATCCCGTACAGTGCAGAAGTCTGTAATTAAAATTTATATAATTAGTATGAAACACCAAAAAAAAAAAATAAAAAAAAAAA